TGGTAGCTATTGAAAATGGTACTTTCCTTATTTCTTTTTCAGCAATCTCTTTGCTGGTGTAGAGGAATCCAACTGATTTTTGGATATTGATCTTATATCCTGCCATGATGCTAAATCTCTCAATTAATTCCAGTAGATTTTTGACTGAGTCTGTTGGATTTTCTAGGTATAGGATCACATTATCAGCAAATAGGGAGTTTGACTTCTTCCTTACCAATATGGATGCCTTTGATTTCCCTTTCTTGTAGGCTGGCTAACTTTCAAAACTCACTTATTCTTCCCAGTCTAACCCACATCACTGACTGGCTAAATCCATTACCATTCATACTCACAGTGACCCTAGACTGGGTGGAGGCAGGTAATGATCTTGGCTTGCTGAAAGGAAACCTCCTCAAAACCCTTTCTTATGTGTGTCCTTTCACGTAGGAAAAATTTTCTTGGAAAACATGGTCTTACAGTGGCATGGTCCAGAGGGCTCTTTCATATATTTTCCATCTTCCCCTTGGCCACTGGGTCCTTGCTGGGGCCAGAATCTCTGGGGACCTGAACGTGAGAATTGTGTAGGCTCGGAGAGCAAACAGTGTCTCTCCTCCCCTTTCTGCTCATAGCCTGACTTCTTCCCATGATGTGGACCACACTTTCTTACCTGGGTACTTCTGTCATCATTGGTAAGGCCTTCCACTCTTATCCTCTGTGCAGAGATGACCTAGAGCCCTGGTTTCTGCATCCTCAAGGGGTGAGGGTATAGGTGATGAAATAAGCAAGAGGCATTCATTCACACTAACAGTTACAAACTGGTAGTAATCCCTTCCTTATTTCTCCCCTCTTCTTATCTGTTAATGAATGATATGGTGTCTTCTGATTATCAAAGGACTCAAATGGAAATATGTAGTGTGGAGGAAGGGTACTTTTACTCCTGAGTTATCAATTAGTACAAAATTAGACATGACTTCAGGCTATTTTGAAGGAAGTCCTGAGTATCTACTTTAAGAATGTAAAAGCACTTACAACAGGCCCTAATACTAATGTTGTACCAGTACTATTATTAAGGGAATGTTAGAATAGCACTGATGATTTCCCTTCAAATTTTTTTTTCTGAGCAGCAGTCTCTATGACAACTTGCAGTCAGCCAGGGCTCTGGTCTGACCCTTGCCTTCTTATCCATTCATTCCATCAACAAGAATTTACACGGTATTTGGGTGAAGAGAAGGGCAATGTACCAAATGTGAGTCATCAGTATGGTGGCACTGAGGAAGACAAAGACAGAGAGAGGTACACGGGAGGTAAAGACAACAAAGATGAACCCTTCTGCACATACAGTACCGCGTTGTCAGTGAAGGCAAACATGGGTATACGGGTAGATAGATGGGTGGACAGGTTGAACTAGTAGGTATGTCTATGAAGTAGGGAGTGTACCCAAGACCATGTATAGGTTGGCTCAATAGTCCTATAAGGGTATTTGTATGATCTGAATTCCCAGATGTATAATACAGCTGACAAGAGGCAAGGTTGTAGTCACTTCTCCATCACAGCCAGCTACCCAGAGGGACCGAGTAGTTGAACCTGTGGCCTTGGGACCATAGTCGCAAGGGACATCAAGTTCAATTGGCATAACATACTACACAAAACATTGTTCCAACTCCTACTTTGGCAAGTAGCAACTGGGGTCTTAAAAGCTTGCAAGCTGCCATCTAGATGCAATGATGGGTGTCTCCTCATCTAGAGCAAAGAATAATGAAGAAAACCAAAAATTCATGGAAACAATTAGCCCTAGTGACTGGTACATCATCCGACCTGCAGCCTATATGACTATGAGACCAGAAGAACTAGATGGTGCCTGGCT